CACACACACACACACCCCTCACCGCCACCATTGCCATAGAGGCCTTTAAGTAAATACCTTCTGCCATCACAGCTTCAATAATGACAAACGTTATTATGTAACATCTAGTATCGAGCAGGATGTTGATCGCTTGATTGAAGATTTAGACAAAGCATTTGCTAAGTACCGGGGTGCTTACCACATTGGCTCAAAATCTAAAACTTCTGAAGCCAGAAAGAGAAAGGAGCAGAGAAAAAATCAAAGAACAGGAGATTGAGCGCTTAAAATAACAGACGAAAGAGAGCTTGCATTATATTTAGATCCTTGGGAGGAGAGCCTGTTGAACTTTGTTATGAGCCAGATATATATGGAATTCAGCAAATCGATTCAGTTGACGAAGAAACATTACTTTTATTCACATCAAAAACCGACAAAGCTTGTCTACAAGATCTGTTTTATTCCCATTGTTTTATGGGGGAAGCTGAAAAACAAGTTCATGATTTTTGCTTTACATAGGATCAGCTCAATTAATTAGAAGACGGGTTAAAATTGATCAGTTGTGAATTTGCTTTTCATTTTGATGGAATATTTTCAATAATCGTTTAACAGCTGTTCGTATTGATATTTGTTACAGTCTATCATGATGCCTGTATTGAGAATCTTTTATTGCGTTTAATTTTATTTACATTTCGAATAAAACTTAAGGACCCCCCTCCGTCAAATGAGTGATTTTACTTTGAGCCCCCCTATCTTGGCGGCAATTTGATGTAATGCCCCCCTCCTCTAGCTTTTCAGCCCTTTCCTCCTGATAATTATTGCACAGTCCCTAATCCAATAAATTCCCTACGATTTTCTGAAGTTTAATTTTTCCTATTTCACACCCCAGGAGGTAATTCCCTTGAAATTGTTCTACCATCAAACTTTTTTTGAAACTTGGCATAATCAACATTCATGATATGAACATTGAAAAAATGCAATAAAAAGATGGGGTCACCGTGTTTGATTACGCGTCAGCAGTCTCTTAAACTGGGGTATTTTTACTGGTTGCGCGTTAAACATTCGAATCCCCTTCTTACAGAATTAAGTCTTTGTTACTTGAAACACACAAAATTTTATCTTGAACATAAAGCTTGTTTTATTCAAATAAGCAGTATTGCTTCATTTAATTCGTTTTTGATTGCCTGGTTGTGGGCATATTGCACTTTTTCGGACAGCTTAGCAGGTTAGCTTGAAGTCCTCGCCTTGACCCAAATACACCAAATACGCAACTATTTTCCCCCAAAAAATCATGTTCTACTATCAAACTTGTTTTCTTCTTCAAATATGTTCTTTATTAGACTGTTGTTAGCAAATACCTGTGAAAAAACTCGGGGGTCACCGTGCTTGTTTCCTCACAAACTGCTGTGAAAGGTGGACATGTTTTGAGATCGCAGTCAGGATGGATAATTTGCGCGGTGGGGACTGGGGCGAGATACAAAATAGAGCCCATCGTGTTCGAAGTATGCACTCGAGATCAAGCTTGTTTTCGGTTGTTTTTATGTGTTTGATATCGCTAGCACAGAAATTAAAACTTGAAAAGAATACATTAAATACCAAGGAATGAGGTAAGTCAAGATTTGATGAGATTTTAGAGTTACGAATCTTTATTTTTGACTATTTTGTAGCGCCGGCGTTCTGTTTAATTCCAGTGAGCTAGGGTTCGATTTTTTTGCTTTTGCACTATAATGCTTGACAAACAAACTTGAAGAAAAGACTGTTGACTTCTATTCTTCATATGTTCGCTTGTTTGGTTTCTATACACAGCAAAATGTGAATTCAGCAGCAAACTTTGTGTTTACATCAAACATTGGTCTCCCTCGCATGTTTCTGTTGGGTCTTATTTGTTCCAGACATATTCGTCTCTCCACACTTGGAGTTTGAATGACATATGTACAGTAGCGATCCCAGGCCAGACACTGGCTCGTTAATGCAGTTGGAGAGCCGTCAAGCTGTCCCACAGGCTTCACAGCCCCCATAATCCAAAGCCTCAGCCAGGAAATTTTAATAATTCCACAACTCGACGGCCGCGAAGTGAAAAACCACTGCAGACTTCGGGATCACGCACATTTCTTTCATTTCCTTGTTTTTCGATAGCAAGGCAGGAAGCTTTCAGCCATTCTGTGACATTATTATTGCGAATAAAAGCTTTGCGTCCGCAAAAGCGGCCCTTGTTTGTTCATTTCGCGTTAGTGGGAACCGCCGCCGCCGCCATCTTGGATGTCGCAGTAGAGGGTGCGCAGTGCAAAACAAGTGATGCTTACAGCATGTCAGATTTGCAACAAGAACTAACCAGGTTAGGACAGTGTTTCGTAGAAATTTCTTTGAGTGTCTGCAACCTGAGATTAGTTCATTTCTATTGTCCAGGGTAGACATTACAGGTTTACAAATTATAAACAGCACGCCCAGCCACGCGCCACGCCTAGTATTTATTGTTCAGTCTTACCAATATCACAGGAAAAAATAACAGATTCCCATTTTTGGATATTTTAGGGTATTTAAAGAATACCCACAAAAATCCCAAATTTGGAAGAGTGAGACAAGTCCCAATCAGGGAAGTTGGTTGGGAATTCCCTGGTTGGGACTTGTCTCACTTTGCCAAATTTGGGATTTTTATGGGTATTCTCTAAATACCCTAAAATATCCAAAACTGGGAATCCGTTATTTTTTCCTGTGATATCTTTGATTGTAACCGTTAATTTTGGCAGTTGCCTGATAATTGTCTCGCAAGAGGCATGAAACTCTGGGTAGCAACAAATGTTCAAGATTTAATCCAGTTTCGTCAGTCTACTTCTATTCTGCTCTAGGTTAACTATTGAGCACTATCGATCAGGACACCGTACTCTGGCACTTCGTTCTATGTATAATATATATTATCCTCTCGGCCCTGTAAAATTCCTTTTTAATCTCGGTGTCCTTGTTCTCCCCCACCCTCTATCAATAAGGTAATGGTTCACCCTTTATTGGCTGATGCAAAGAAAGGGATCGATACAGGAGGTATATTGCGTGACAAAAATGCAAATTAGCATATGACTGATGGCGTGTGGGACAAACGTTCAATATTACCCGCACTCGGAAATATATTACAACAGACATACCCTTCACCAAACTTAAAGTGATCCATAATAATTTCTCAAGAGCTACACGAGAAAAGTCACCCGAGGTGAGAGGGATAATGAGGGATAAACACGGATTCAAATCATGTCAAATGCTCGAAACGGAAAAAGAAACTCGAATGGAATATGAGATAAATTTCTATTTTAAAAAGGGTATCCGGTTGCTGAGTTTCCAAGCTGAGGACTGATTACATTTGAGAAGAAGTTAATAACCGTACGTAGTTTGATATTTTAACATAGCTGAAATGGACAACCTGGCTGTAAACAAGCACAATTTGCATATCCGACGGGTTGATCAAGAATGTCAGTTTATGGCATTTTTTTCGGCTTTCATTTATACAAACTTAAAAAGGCTAGTGAAAAGAAAACACATGTTCGTTACTTTAAGGATACACAACAACATTCTCAGCTGCTGAGAAAATATCTACTAAATTAAAGTCGCGGTGTGTGAGCCGTAAAGCGGGCAAATCTATGCAAATCATGCCGAAAAGAGGCTCTTAAAAACGTTTGATCACGTCCAACACAGAACGATACCCGCACCTTTGACTTTATTTACTGACAGAATAAGGTAAGATCTTTGCTGTGAAGTGCCTTTTACCTGTGATTTTTGTACCGCTTTGGAGATTTTAGCTTTTACTTTGGAAGAATTGTCAAGGAGGAAAACAAACTGCAAAGGGGCTTGTGTTTGATTTTATCAATTTAATTTAATTTTGCGTCATATTATCCCATATTTCGTCATAGGGCAAGTCAAATGCAGCTAAATCCATTGTACTATGTAGAATTTCGCGACATTTATCCGTTACGAAGAAGCGCGGCTTTTAAAATCACCGAATTTCGGAAATAGCATCCTGAGTAGCGGAGGAAGAAGCCTGGGATGAAGCGGTAGATGACAAAACTTCAGCTGTGTGACCGGGTTTTACAATCTGCTCTAAGTCATTATAATGCTTTATAATGCTCTACCATGCTAGTGGAGAGCCAACCTTTTTGTCTGGCAATATCAGACTTAGAAACTCCCAACAGTTCCAAAGTAATGGAACATCCGGCGCGAAGGCTGTGGGGAGTCTCTCCACCGTCTAAGCCAGCATCCTTAAGATACGATTATAAACTGAAGAACCAATGAAAGGTTTATCAGAAATGTGGCCAGCTTTGCTGGTAGCGCGGAATAAATAGCCTTGAGAAATATCTACACTAATCCAACAACAGATATTTAGATACAACATAAAATTACGCGGTGGACAAATATCAGAATTACTAGAACTCCTTACAGAAAAAGAGTGTGTAGAATTTCCTCTTAATGTCTTACCAAAAGTATGGTTAAAGAGTAACCCGGAGGAGTCGGGAAAAAGAAGCACTTCTTTAGACTTAGTTCTTCCTAGGTCCGATGAACAGTTTCCAGAGAAAAAGTGAATGCAAAAGAAACTAAGATCCCTACTGAGGATGTACAAAAGCAGAGGCGAAGTGTAGGGATTTCTAAGTTTAGACAGGATTGAACGCGCTATAGCCAAAAATTTATTTGTAAAAAGGGGAACGGCCTTACGAGGCTGTACTCGAGCCTGGGCTTGCTCTTCTCGTACACACTTCAAATAAGCTTTGATAGCTTCCAATACCTAATCGGTCGTCCCATTCCCCTCCCAAGCCCTCCTCAACAAAAATGGACCTTAGTTTCCCAATTAGGCTGTCCAGAGTTCCAGCAGCCAACCTGGTTGGACATGAACAGGAGACGCTCTGGCGTTGGCCCAGGCCTGGACAATCCAAAAGGTGAACAACGGTCTTCCTTGAGTCAGTATCCTTTCATACCAGAAACTTGTTAATGTCGGGATGGAGAGGCGGAAGGAAGAGCCTTTGGAACCGGGAGAGAAGAAAGAAAATTCACAAGTTCCTTGTGAAGAGAAGACGTCTGACGTTCATAACTGTTGTTGGACTTTGCTTCA